GGCTACGATTTTAATGAGTAAGTAATTTTATATTCGGTTTACGACAGGAGAGCACATTTGTTTCAGAAGGAACACGAGCAACGCAGGAGGAGAAAGAGCAAGGCACAATTTTTCGAAATGATCCAAGAAATTAGAAGGTATTTATTAATTGTCTACTTTACTTCTTTTCTTTTGTATAGAATAAAAAATAAGCAATTTTGTGTAACTTGTTAGGGTTCAGCAATGCAGAGATCACTCATTGGATTCTATAAAAGAAAATGTTGCTATTGAAACATCGGAAGTTTCCGAAGAAGTCACGGAATCAAAATTCTTGTCTCCATCTCCCGACGTATCCAGTCGGTCCCCAAGACAAGGTCGTTCACCCAGACAATTACGCTCTCCAAAAAGTAGAAGAAAACGGTGCAGTGTTGCTGGATTAAATGTAAGAAGATTTAGTACAGATTCAGTGTTAGGATCTGACTCGGCATCTATCTATGAAAGAACAAGTCTTAACATTGGCAGAAGACTTAGCCGTGATGTGAGTTGTTTAACAAATTCACCTCCAGACATTAATACTCGTCTTAGAACACCATCACCTATGGCTCGTCGAGTTGAAGGTTCGTCGACTCGTTCATATCAAGATGTTTCAGAGAGATCTAATAATTATCTGAATATTGACGTTCCGACACATAGAGCTAGTATAGAAATTATGGTTTCCCAAGAGCATGAATTACCACCTGCCCCACCGTACCCAAAAGTGTCACATTCCGGGGGCAATTCCCAATTATCACAACTATCAGAAGATGAGCTGATAAGATTATGGCGGAGTTCGGAAAGAGAAATCCAAGAAGCATTGTTAGCTGCGCTACAAGAGAGAAGAGCTAACTTAGATCCTAAACAAGATCCAGGATGAATTCAAATTTCTCAGGTATATCTGGAAAAGAAATCGTCTGTAGAAATAGATCACTTCGTATTTCTCATTGAATCTCAAGATGGGGATGATCGGGAGAATAGTGAAGAATGCACCTGTGGGTGTGAACAAGGTGCCTTTTTTACATTGTTTGATGCGTTCTCCTACCATATATTACTTAAACGATCGGTGTTCATTTGAGTGTCTTGGTATCGTGTTAAGCTGCCTTATTTTACAATAAAATTTCTCCAATTTATATTCGCGTCAAACAATTTAATTAATGGTACGATTAGTAAGTAAATGGAAATTGTAAAAAAAATAACGTCCATAATTCTCATTAAGGAATGATAAATAGATAAAGTATAGTAGAATAATAAAAAAGCGACTGTAGAGTCTATGTTATGTATTGTAGATATGACCATGACATTTGAAGTGCTTTATCCTAAATTTAGTCTAGTTCGTGGTAGAGTTTTATTGTAATAAAAATATTCATGTATTTATTACTTTGCAAGTGTCGTTTATTCATTGGGAATACGAAATACTCTGGTATCATATTTTATTGTGTCAAAATACTGTAACAAAATGTACCATAATGTTGTTTGCTGTGTATCTTTTTTGTTCTAATCTTTATACTTTCATTCAAAAATGAAACCCCTTATTTAAGCTATCAGTATTGAAATTAAGTTAAAAATTAAATGATTATTGTAGAACAAGATATAGTTATTATAAAATTACTGCCATTAAAATAATCGTAAACATTAAGTAAATTTTTTTCTTAGACTTGCACCCTAGCCCTATTTAAAAGAAAACTATAAAATATGCACACTTGTACTTATCCTCTAGTTGTTTATTGATTTTTTAACATATAAAATATTAAAGAAAAGAAATGTATGTAAAATATTTTTTCAGTTTAATTTTTTTTTTTTAGTTATTCCCTATAAAATATTTTTTTTTTAATTTCAACCCAATAAATATTGCATTTTTTTTTCACAAAATATAACAATATCGTTATCACGCAAAAAAATTCTAAATATTGTTCTTACATTGGTCTGTGAAAAAATATATATTTCTTTGTCTCCAATTATTTATTTGTACGACGTTTATAATATTTTTGAAAAATTAAAATTTTTGGACCAAAGTCAAGTTTAAATGATGAGTTTATCAATTCTATTGGATGTGATTCATCTGGTGATATAAAAAGTCTTATGGATTTCTCTCTTAGATATAATAATATTGATCTATAAATTTATTGATAATAAAAAAAATTAAAAAATACATGTAGATCGTACAGAATAATTGTATAAATTAAAAGATTGTAATGCACATACATTTCGATTCAGATTCTTTTAAATCTTTGTTTTATTTAAATGTAATTTTTCAAAATTATTTTTCAATTATAAAAAGTAGAAAATTGTATTTATCAACCTCATTTATTCCTAGGTTGAATAGCTGGCAGAAATAGAAACTGAACAAGTCTTCGGAGAAAGAAGAACGAATTGGAATATTTATGAAAACGTATAATCAAAATATTTCAAATCTTATAGTATTGTAAACCGTGAATTTAAAATTAAATGATATTATTTAATCTATGGTTTTGTCTTCAACAAGATATTTATAAGAGCTGATCTGAATAAAGTAAAAATTAAATATAATCATTAATCTTTATTTCTTCTAAAATGTTTATATAATGAAAAACATGCAAACATATGCGATACCCATATTTAATTGGAAATCTTTGTATATCTGAGGGCATAACTCGAATATTTCCTACAAGCACCTTCGTAGCGTCAACGAGATATGTCAAAATTTGTTTAAGATTTGTCGGTGTAAATTACGCCCCGTAGGGGGTGCTGCACAATTTTTAACTCAAAATACAGATTTGACAGACGTAATTCAGATGAAGTTACAAAACCGTTGTCACAATAATTCGTGTTAGGCCCTCAATATGCTGACGCCTGTGACTTTGTTACTTTTTGTATTCCATTAAATTTAAATGATTTGTATTGAAAATATTTTTAGTCAATTATCAAGTAAGTCTGCTGAAGTAAAACATTTTTCATCCCAATTTACATTGCCTAATTGGGGATTAGATGTAACAAATTTAAAAATAATTCTATAAAAATATATTTCAAAAGATCTAAACGAGCAAACAACTTAAACGGGCAGACAAGAAATAACTCGAGAGCTTCGAGGAGCGTTCCGATATAAGCAGCTTAAAGGAAATCTTATTGTGCTCGCATTTAACGTCATCGAGAGATATATTATTTCAAGTTTAGATTCTTTACAATATATAAGTTAGCTTTTGATTTCAAAAACAATCAAAAATTTGATATCAAAGTGATGCTAAACCATACTGATTTCGAAGTTATTTAGAACACTCTTGTAACTTTGTTTTGGATTTAGAAATGTATGAAACATGCATGACTAATACTTGATATGTCTTCAATCAGATCAGACCTTATAAATATTTAAAAACGAATTCCAAATATTCTTTTTACTTTATAAAACACTGATGTCAATATAACTGTAATATTATAAAGTACTTAAGTTATAAAACTCTATTTAATAAGGAATCAAAAGACGCCAATTTTATGTGTAGATTATATGAATTGTAGATGTGTAAATTATTCATTATATATTTGGACTTTAATTGTACATAATCATAAGAGAAACTAACGAATGTAACGCTTATAAAATTAAAATCAGTACATTGAATTGTTAAACATTATTAATTCTAAATTTATTGTAAATTATACGCTTTGTCAATCTTTTAAAAAACAGTGTGAAATTAATCAAAACCTATGTAATATTAATAAATTGGAATCAAGTTTAAATTCATTCAAAAAGAAATATTTATCTAAACATATTAGAATAATATTTAATCAATATTAGTTGCCATTGTCATTATACGAATAGGTAAACAAATAAAATATTTGTGCCAAATTGTATGTTTTATTTTTAATTTAATATTTCATTCGTTACTTTTAATATTAGGTAAGTAGCTGTCGCCCGCGACTTCGTCCGCGCGGATTTAAAAAATCTTAATTAGTAGCCTATTATTAGTAACTAAATTAGAGCGTCGGTGGCTCAGGGGTTTAGGCACTTGACTTGTAATCTGCAGGTTCTGGGTTCGAATCCCACCATGTACCAGTGTGTTTTACGATTTGCTTATGTACATTTATCCGATGTTCTTACGGTGAAGGAAAACATCGCGATGCAACCTTGCACATATTTGAGAAGAAATTCAAAGATATGTGTGAAGTCAATCAATCCTCACTGGGCCAACGTTGTTGACTATGGCCTAGTCATCCCCCTAACTTAGGGTAGGCTCTGAGCCCATTGGTGGGGACGTATAGTGAGCTGATTATGAGTAACCTATGTGTTCTTCGGGATCCGTTCATCCGTTCTGGAGATATCTTCAAACAAACATCCATCCATCCAAAAATTCGCATTTATATTATAATATTAGTAAGATAACTTACTACTTTAATTGAAGCATACACTGTTGAATACATAAATTTATCACCATAAAGATTAATTAGCTAAGATTTAATTTTTCTTCCCACTTAAATGATATGCGTACTAAAATATATGATAAAAAAATCGCAGCACTTAACGTTTTCTAGGATAAAATCGTAGGCCTTTTCTGACATAATTTACCGAAGCAAACTAGTTAGTTATTCATAAATAATTCATTACGTAAGGTCGATCGTTTTATCATAGCAAGTTTAAAAAAATATATTTAAATAATCTTTAAGATTTATAAAAAAAAATTCTGATACAGTTACAAAAATTGTTGTTATTACTAATTTAAAAAAATTGTTACTTACACATTTCTTGTCATCACGTTATAAATCTAATTTCGGTAATCGTCGAATTTAAAAAACAAGCAACCACTCCAATCACTTATTCAGATCTTTAAACACAAGCCTATTTATCTAACAATGCTTATAAATAATAAATATAAACAAAAGGTGTTATTCAATTTTGTCACAATACAAATTACATCATTCAAAAATTTCAGTTTAAATTTTGATAACTAAAGCTAAACAAATAATAATTATGGTAAACAATAATTTTAATTAATCAATCAAGACGCAGTAACCGGTATCGTTTCTTACATAAAACACAATATTAATAATACAACGAGTTAGTATGCTGATGACCTCGCAAAAGTTAAAACGATTGCACGTGTTGTGATTTAAAATATAGACCAATTCTGTTAAAGAACGATTTAAAAATGAAGATATTAATACTCGTGACGATACTTTTCACAATAAAAATGTCTAATTCCTCTTGTTATTGGAATGAAAACTGTCATTACAAACAATTTTCAAGTAAAACTCCGTATGAGTTTGTGAGAGGCGATATCAGAGATTCAGTGGTGATGAAACCAGGTAAGCAACACTTAATATCCTTATCATACTATATACTAATATTATAAAAGCGAATGTTTGGATGCATGTATGTTTGTTTGAAGATATTTCCAAAACCTCTCGCTGAAATTTTATCATAGACGTAGAACATAGTCTGGAAGTACATAGGCTAATACTAATTATTATTTTAATCCCGCGCACATGAATTCGCGGGCGACAGCTAGTACAATATAATTTTAGAATAGTTTAAATTTTTATCATCTTTAAGTTATCATAATATTAAACCTTTAGTGGAAATCCTTTAGTCTTACCTATAGCATGTGTATATTTAGCGAGCGCATGTTCCCTGACCTTTGGCAGTTTGCATAGGCATTTTTCTTTAATTCCGCGCGGACGGAGTCACGGGCGACAGCTAATAGATCATAATTAAATTTGACGTGTTAAATGTTTACCAGGATGTAAAACGATTAGTTTATGGGGATTAGTGAGACATGGAAAAAGAAATCCTGGTGAAAATTTCGTCTACAAAATGTTAGATGCAACTTTATTAAAAGATTACATTAAAACCAGCCATGAAAAAGGTGACGGTATCATGTGCGCACAAGACGTTGATAATTTAAGCAATTGGATAATTGATGAAGACACATTTCATAATGTTCACCAGATAGCTAAAGAGGGTTATGAAGAAATGGCAGGTTTGGGACACAGGTTCAGTGCTGTATTTAAAGATTTGCTAATTAGTACTGATGAAAAAAATTATACTTTACGATCTGCTTATGGACATTGGCTTGAAAACAGTGCTAAAGGATTTATCCAAGGCATAGGAAATGAATCACTAGTTATAGATAAACCACATAAAACCTACGATATTATTGCGGTTGGTATTTATCGAATGGATATAAAATTCTAAAGTTTATATAATTAAATTAATTTAACATTTCCCCAGCCTTATGAATCCTGTAACTATTACATGAAAGGTGTAAAACAAAATCCAGAAATATACAAAGAACCTACTAAGTATCAAGATATGACTGAATTCCTCGCAGTAAGTTTGTACATTTTTATAACATGCTAACAATTTGATTTCAATTATGCTAAGCCAACGGCTTGCCAAATTTAAACTTTGAATAAAATTATTTTAATAAAAATAACTACTATCTTCCTTATATTATAAACTAGCTGTCGCCCTCGTTTCCGTTCGCGTGGATACATAAAAATCTTAATTAGTGTAGCCCATCCATCCATCCACATCACATCCACCTAAACATTCGCAATTAAAATATTAGTAAGTTAAATAAAAAGCAGCTCTTCAAGGCATAAATTGAAAAAAAAAACAATAAGAAGAAAATGAATAAATAGTATCCTATGTCCGTCTCCTGGCTCTAAGCTACCTCCTCATCAATTTTCAGCGATATCAGTAAAGCCGTTCTTGAGTTATAAATAGTGTACCTAACACGACTTATTTTATATATATATATGTATATATATATTGATGAGAATGATTGGATGGATGGGTGGATGTTTGAAGGTTACTCCATTAAGGCAAAACGGATCTTGATGAACTTTGCCATATGTACATATAGAACATAGTCTGGAAGAACACATATGTAGGCTATTAATTATATATTTTTTGTAAACTCCGCGAGGTTGGAGTCGGGTGCGACAGCTAGTAAAGTTATAAATCAACACCATTATTTAGGTAAAAGAGGGAATTCAAAAGAGAACTGGTATCAATTACACACTGACTAATGAAAATATAACATCATTGTACGATTTATGTCGCTACACTTCTTCTGGGACTCACAAGAAGCTTAGTCCATGGTGTGCTCTTTTTACAACAGAAGACATAAAAGTTCTAGAATACATTGGAGACTTACGACATTACTACAGAAACAGTTACGGTACACCAGTTAACAAAATATTTGGTCGTATACCTTTAACTGATTTATTAGAAACATTTATAAAGGCAAAGAATGGAAAAGGAAATCTTTTTACAATATATTTCACGCATGCCACTATGATGGATATGGTATACACAGCACTAGGCCTATTTAAAGATGAAGTGCCATTGACTGCCGAATTTAGAAATGATACGAGGAAATGGAGATCATCTAAATCAAGTGCTTTTGCTTCGAACTTAATGGTGACATTAAATAGGTTTGTACTTAAGACTACGATAATATCTACGTCATATTTTGGACATTCAGTAGTACGGAGTATTCTAAGATTTACACTTTATGTCTCGTGTTTAGTTGTAAGCGCAAGTCTGCGTAGATGTACCACGCGCGCCCTTACGGGTGTGTCTCACTATTGTATCCTAGATGTCTCGCAGAAAATGGTATTTGGAAGCATCATAAAGTTTGGATGACACTATTTGCATACTGAGAAATGCATTGTACAGTTATGAAATTTATTAATTGAGGCATACATTTGGAAAAATAATATTTTAAAATTTAAATTATTGAGTATGCATTATAGATGCACCATTTTTATTTTAGATGCATTGATGGCGATGAAACCGATTACAACGTCGTATTTTATTTGAACGAGAGACCTTTAGATTTAATATGTAACAATGGAGAATGCTCATGGCGGGAGTTTGAAGAAATACTAAAACCTTTCGTAAACACTACACTGGACTTTTGTTAAGCTTTATAAGTGAAAAAAAAGCTATGAATGATGTTTTAAAATCTAAATATCTTTATCTCTATTTTATTGCGTACGTCATTGGAATAAATGCTAGTGAAAAATAGATTTTAGATTTTATTATATTTTTTAATAACATAATAGGTGTTTGGTAAGAAACTCGAAAAACATTGTTCCGACAAGATAAAGACATAACTCGTTTTTGTTTCTCACTAAACATGTTTCTAGTATGTATGTATGGAAATATTACTTTTTAATTGGACTATTAAAATCTAATTCATTTATTATCCTTATTCTTAATATATAACATTTCATATAAAAAATAAAAAATTATACAAAATATATTATATTAATAATAGAGCACCACCGGCTGCGGAGTCCCATGACTCAAACAACCAGTGGTCAGGGCTGCAGAGATAGGAACCCAATTGGACTTATTATTAAATTATCTACTACTATCTTTTGTGTAAGCGGATGACACAAAGTTAATAATTTTATAGGACAAAATAACATAAACAGAAAAAATCTTTGTTGGTATGAATAGGAATTGTCTTTAATTTTTTAAACACTTTTAAAGACACATAAAGTACAATGTTAGTGTTTTAAAATGCATACTTATAGTATAATAAATATATTATCACAATTGTCGTTTAGAATATTAGCAAATGTTTATTGACTTTTTGCAATAAATAAATTCAAATAAAAAAGAACTGAAACAAAATGAGTTTCGAGATAAATATGAGATCACAGTTACCTTTTTTTAATACAAGTTTGTTGTACAAAAGCAAATAATACATTAGCATATTGTGGAAACATTGGATAGTATTTAGTCACATCTCAGCCTCGATGGGGACACCAGGTCTCCTGACTACATTTATATAATTAAAATCCAAGTGATATAAAATATAATACAATGTTAAAGAACATATTTTTCATAGTAACGATCTCGTTATTTGCAAGTACTTTTGCCTCGTTTTGTCATTGGAATAGCGGTTGTCCTTACAAATATTTCGCTTCAAAAACATCATATAATGCTATACGAGGTGATATAAGGGATTCCTTAGTTGTATTAAAGGGTGAGTTCCAATACAACTAACTTTACAACTTTTTAATGCGGTTGAAATTAATATAATATTATTTCAGGATGTGAACCGGTGAGTATTTGGGGTTTATTCCGTCATGGAAAGAGATATCCATCGACTCGCTTTGGTAAAAGTATGAACGAAGCTTTAGCCATAAGGGAGGACATACTGACAAGTTATGCAAAAGGACATAGTTCACTTTGTGCCCAGGATATAGAAGATTTAGATGCATGGGTGGCAGACAAGAAAATGTTCGACTCAGCCACGGAACTTACTCCAGAAGGTCATGAAGAAATGTATGGAATAGGAAAAAGGATAAGACACACTTTCAACAATGTACTGGAGAAATTGGATAAATATACTTTCCGTCCAGCGTATGGTAAATGGATAGAAGATAGTGCGAAATCTTTTTTGAAAGGATTTAACAATGATAAACTACACGTCGAGAAAGCGCTCCCGGAATCTGATGTTATGGCTGTAAGTATATTGGTTTTAACCTACTTCTTACTATATTACTAATATTATAATCTTACTTAATATTATAAATGCGAATGATTAGATGGATGGATAAATAAATGGATGTTTGTTTGAAGGTATCTCCGGCATGGCTCAACAGATCTCGCTCAAATTTGTCATAGATATAGAACATAGTATGGAAGAGCGGATAGACTAATAATTAAGGTTTTTATTTCGAGTCGCGGGCGACAGCTATATAATATAAAAATGTATGATGCCTACTGTAGTTTTAAAAGGTATTTATAATGGCCTATGAACTAAGAACAATCAATTGATTATCATTATAATTTCAGCCATATTTAACTTGCGGAAAATATCAAAAAGATGTACAGAAGAATCCTAACATATACGCGGAATCAGAAAAGTATAAGAAGACCTCAGAATATTTGGCTGTGAGTATTTGTAATTCTTATAAACAACATTTTAAAATAACATTTTTACAACAGTAGTAATTTGACGTTGTTAGTATTCAACATTTATAACAAAGTTGTGAATTCAATTTCTACACAAGGACTCTATTTTTCGAATTTTAAAGTATTTAGGTACATAATTTTTATTATACATTTATATCCTAAATAAAAAGTAGATACCATCAGAGAACCATAAAATCTCCAAGAAAATGCTTATATGTTTAATTGCTTACAAACCAAACCTGCTTAGTATACAAAGTAGGCCAAGTGAATCTACTATTCTTGGCACGTCTTGATACGTCTAAGAAATTAAACGTAAAATTAATTTAGACTTGACTTTAAGACTTACTCTATTATGTCTTACTCTACCGCAACATATAGTAAAACAATTAACGTGTTTTGTTAAAATATTTGAACAAAAACGTGAGACTATTAAAAATAGAAATCTCATTGAAAAATTTTATGTATTTTACATAAAAACAATAATAGTAACGAAAAGTAAAATAATTCAAATAGCATAATAAATTCCAGCTTGATACCTTCACGCGTTTTTGAGAAAAAGGGTCTTGACAGACGGACGGACGGACAACAAAGTGATCCTATGAGGTACCTAAAAATGATATAAAGTCCTATTTAAGCGACATACAATTTGTTTCAGACCAAAGATAGAATACAACGAAGAACTGGAATCGATTACGAGCTAACTGACACAAATGTGACCGCACTATACGATTTGTGTCGTCACACTTGGTCCGGTGTGGAGAGTAAACTTAGTCCCTGGTGCGCGCTTTTCACCAAAGATGACTTGCAGGTCTTAGAGTACATACAGGATTTGAGATCTTACTATAGAAATGGTTACGGTACTGAACAAAGTGAAATATTCGGTCAAATTCCTCTAGCTGATTTATTAAGAAGCTTCCAGAAAGTGAAAGAAGGGGATGGAAAGAAGATGACAGCATATTTTACTCACGCGACAATGCTGGATATGGTGTACACATCGCTCGGTTTGTTTAAAGATAACAAGCCCTTGAGTAGTACAAACAGGGATCGTGATCGAAAATGGCGGAGCAGTGCAAATTCGGCGTTTTCAGTAAATCTTGTAGCTGTATTAAACAGGTATTTTATAATATTATTTTGTTTTTAGCTAGTTTTTTCGCAGCTGTCATAAATTTTAACGATAAATAATTTGATTACTTGACAAATTAATTTCAATTATTCGTTAATTTTAAGCGTCTCGTTTTTTAAACTAGATTTATTTATCATGTGTTTTAATTCTATTCTTAATTCTACGTTTCTACTTAAACGTGTAATTTCTTATCTAGAATTTTATTAAATACGAATCTAATATGAAATTCAAGTAAAAATTTTATGTTTGTTGCAGATGTACAAAGGAAGATGAAATTGACTACAACGTCGTTTTCTATTTGAACGAAGAACCCATCCGAGCTATTTGCGCCGACGGTACTTGTACGTGGAAGGAGTTTGAAGAAAAACTAATACCATTTTTGAATACAAAAATTGACTTCTGTGAATTCAAATCTGAACCTTATTAATTAAGTTTAAAGATTATAATAGCTTTTTAAGCTTTCAAGAAATAAAAGATTTCAATACAAATCGCTAATTTCATTTAAAAATCATCTCATTTGCCCGAACTATGATAAAAAATATATGAAATATACATTAAACATTAAGGACTAGCAGTCGCCCGCGACACCATCCGCGCAGGATTAAACAAACTTAATAAGTAGCCTATATGGCCTTTCAGACTATGTTCAACATGTGTGCCAAATTTCATCAAGTTCCGTTGAGCAGCTCCAGACATACTTTCTCACAAACATCCATCTAAACTTTCGAATTTATAATATTGGTAAGATAAGAAGTAAGTCTAGTAAAGTGTAAGAAGTAGCAATTATCAAGACTGTTGTCAGTTCTATTTTGATTATGTACTTAACTCTACAATTTTGTTTCCAATTATAGATTGAGTATGTTTGGTATAGTACAGTTTATTAAATTACACGATATGTATATGTTTTGTTAGTGAACACAACATTGTAGCATTTTTCTGTTCCCCTGCACTCTATTGTGAAGAGTATATCGATTTCTATTCGCTTACATTCCGCATTGTTGGATTTTATCGGAGCGTTTATATCTACAGAGACAGGTCACAATCTAAGAATAATAGGAAAATAGTTCTTTGATAATAATTATAATAAGAAAATAAACTACTTGGCTGTTATTATTTTTTTTTGTTTCCTAGCAATTATCTTTAATAGCTTTTATATATTTAATAACTTTTGGAAAAGTGTATAATTTAAATTATTCATATGCATCAACGACAAGACAACTGCAAAAACAAACAGGTCATAATTTCGAAATAAGGTTTTGTTTATTTTGAAATTATTAACTTTTTGAAAATATTAAAAAAAAATGTTTTTTTTTTCAATTAAAAAACTAAACAATATGAATAATAAATAGCTTTGATGACAAAGTAAATTAACTTTACTTATTCGAGAATTCAACATTGTGTTTTAACATTTTAGACGGAAAAATAAAGATCTCACTCTGAATAATGCGAGTGTACTACCATATCTGTTTCAGGTTAGCAATTAAAGAAAATGCTCTTACTAATCTTACTAATATGCGAATGTTTAGATGTATGAATAGTTATTTGTTTGAAGGTGCCTTCGAAACGGCTCAAGGGATCTCATGTAAAGTTTTTTTTTTTATCTTAGCAGGCGGAGTCGCGGGTGTTAGCTAGTAAAGAATATATAGAGGTAAAAAAGTGACACTATCAGTAATTCGAGTGTGTATGTATATCATGATTAGTACCTTACTCCTAGTACCGAGGAGAGCTTTAAGTTTTATTGTATTTATTATGTTTAATAATAGTCACGTTTAATGTTATATATCGTTGATGTTGCAAGAAAAATCTTTTAAGGTTTTTGGCTAATTATTAAGTTTATAATTAACATATATAATTTTAATTTATGCACCTCAAAAGTTAAGCCAAAACATTAAGGTATGTAAAAACTTGTATGCCGTCCTCACGTGTGTTCGAATCAGGCGAGGGAGATGACAAAATTGCTTGTCATACGTTTTGCATGCACCCATATATAAAGCCAACCCACACGATTTTAAAAAATTGATACAAAAAATGTAAAGGTCACTTGTTCACCTTAGAATTCTAATCTTAATATATGAATCTAAATTCATTGATCTCGACTTATTTATGAGCAAATTTGCAATAAACATGGACTCCCAAAAAGTTAAGATTATTATGTCCTTAATTTGATTTCACCTCCTTTTCACCTCTAAATGAAACAAAGATACATATGTGTTTTACAACAACAACAACACAACTTAGGAGGGAAGGCAGAGAAGGGCTTTTCTTTGTGGCATACATCTTTATATCTAGGCATTTCTGTACCTAGTAAAGTCCAACCAGGATAATCGAAAAACCAAGGGACCACGTCATTTTTCTCTCTACTAGAGTTTCTCTAACACCAGAATTTCTCGCGCATAAAAATCGTCCGTGGGGACTGAACAAATGACATTCGCTTATAAAGGTTTCTTGCTTATCCAAGTTCGACTGTATTCATATTTTTATGTTGTTCAATAAGTGGTACTTATAACCACAAACCTTAAAATGGAAATACTTTTCTTCTTTTTAAGTGATTTAAACAATTTTTTTACGGAGTTTTCATAGAAATACACACCTCCTTTGTTATCTTCACATTAACCACGTGTGTATCAGACACCCAGTCTTAACTCTAAGCAACAACGGCCGCAAAATTTGGCTGTTGCCCAACAAAGTAAATTTATTGTCATGACCTCGCCTAAGACTTTGCTATCAAAGGAGCTAAGCAAGTTGGTACTTTCTACAAATTTAAACAATTTGACACTCTATAATATGAAATAATTATTGTCGTTTTCTTCTAAACAGTTAATAAAAACAACGTTGGCAAAATATGCTCTTTGTATCTTTAAATTGAATTTTTTGTTCTTGCAATATATTAAACTAGCTGTCGCCCGCGACTCCGTCCGCGTGGATATATAGAAAAAAAATAAAATGAATAACTAGTATCCTATGTTCGTCTCCTGGCTCTAAACTACCTCCTCACCAATTTTCAGCTATATCGGTAAAGCCGTTCTTGAGTTATAAATAGTGTAACTAACACGACTTTCTTTTATATATATAGGTAACTTATATGGTGGCCAATAACTTTGAGCGAACTGGTTTGAACTGGATTATTGTCAAAAAATTATCGTTGGAGTAGTCTAGACGTTGTAAAACTTTTAACAAATATTCTACGATATATAAAACAATTTACTTATTTATATAATAAGATACACACAACCTTTTTTATCTACTCTCATATACAACTTAATAACAATGTATTGAAGTAACATTACCTATATTAATGTTTGAGTTTGCTTACGTAAATACCTGAGCAGCGATAGTGTTTGCACGGGAATCAAGCCGGCCACTAGCGGTTACTAACGACCTGAATTACAATTTGTGATACAATTACTAACGTTTATTGGCTGATCGTATTTATCTCTATAAATTGATTTCTGCATACGAGTGCGAATCTTATGCTTAGATATAATAATCTATATATATAAAAGAAAGTCGTGTTAGTTACACTATTTATGTATAACTCAAGAACGGCTTTACTGATATGGCTGAATATTGGTAAGGAGGTAGCTTAGAGCCAGGAGACGGACATAGGATACTATTTATTCTTTTTTTTCGAATTTATGCCTTGTAGAGCTGCTTTTTATTTAACTTACTGATATAATATTATAATTGCGAATGTTTAGATGGATATGATGTGAATGGATGGAAGGGTGTTTAAAGATATCTCTAGAACGGATCTCGTACTCTCTACTCTACTCGTACTACTCCCGTACTTGGCATACGTATAGCACATAGTCTGAAAGAACACATAGGCTACACTAATTAAGTTTTTTTATATATCCACGCGAACGGAGTCGCGGGCGACAGCTAGTAATGTCGTGCGTCTCTATATAGCGTCTCCACTTTACATTTAATTTATTTTTCTTTGTGCCATACTTTTAGCAGAATCTGTCTTTTCTTTGACACATCGCTCATTAAACTGAAATGCTGATAAAAAGACTTTATCACTTGAACAAATACGTAAATGATTGTCGCTGATTTGAATCTTATGTTCTTTTGCTAGCATTTTCAAAATATTGTTTATTGTCATCGTTATACGGTATCAGTTAACGTGTTTTATTCCTCTTAATAATTTTAATTTATAATTACTATGAGTTACTCTTTTACTATATTTGGTCAAATACCAACTCAATTTCATTAACTTGATTTAATAGGTCAGTAAAAGGTGAAACTATCTGCCACATTACACAAATCAAAGTTTCTTCTGGACTAGCTGTCGTCCGCGACTTCATCCGCGAGGAATTAAAAAAAAAAACTTAGTAGCCTCTGTCTGCCTTACTTATTCCGTCAGCTTTTATTCTACATCTACCTCAAATTTTAGCGAAAACATCCATATATAAACATGCGCATTTATATTATTAATAAGATGTATATTTTAAAAATTACAACAGAACCGCAAAAGCAAGATTTGTTGTTTTGTTTTAAAGTGGATTTTATGGATTTTATTAACAATCACTAAATTGTAAAGACTGAAACAACATAAAAGAAAAACTATATACAGATAAAGCGTACCCTAATAAATTATGAGAAACTCGTAAGCTGTAGAACTTTGATATAAATAAAATATTAAGAATTACCTATCATATGGATAGGAAATAAATTAAAAACTGCTTTCTTTACTTTAAAACAAACGCAGATTTATTGCAAAGAAACATATCGATATCGATATATTTATTGCAAAGAAACATATCGATATCGATAATTTACTATTATAAAATCTCAAAAATAATTTCGTACATCCTTTATCTATTAGTTTTTAATAAGCTCTCAATACTTTCATCATAAGTCTAAACCAATAATAATTTTCAAAAAAATTAAATCGTACGACGCCGACGATCAATCGATCAACGTTCAACAACCTTGAAAGGATTAATACTTGGGGATGGTTAAAATAACATTTTACTATTTAAATAACCACCATTGCAATTCTAAATTATCAATTGATTTCTAGTTGAAGGTAATTAATTTTTAATAACTGAATAGTTTACTAACGACATTTCGACGACAACTAATGAGTTTTTCATTTGCAGTTATTTAAAATGTTGCAATTTAAGATTCTTTCCCTCTAATAACTACAATAATAAAGCTATATTTATCATTAAATAATTGATAAAGTATTTAAAAATAACATTAACGAAGCAAATTACGATAACCTTGATAACCGTTCAATTAATCTTGTTTTTCTGGAGACATTGCTTGCGAATTCAAAGTATTTTGACATTTAAATATGATGCTATACATTGTAAAATGACTCAAAGAAACAAGTCTATCAGAAAGCTGCTGCCAATCCGATCCAAAATCCTTTAAAAACAAATAAAAGTAAGACATCGTTAACCTTATGGTTAAAAAGAACATATTGGTAGATATAAATAGAGCACACGCAGTCAAAGTTATTGTACAAAAAGATTATAGTTCAACTGAGGGGCTCGGTATCTGCCCTAATTTAGGGGTGCCTAGGCCGTAGCCAACCACACTAGCCCAATACGGGTTGGTTGACTTCACACATATCTTTGAATTTCTTCGCAGATATATGCAGATTGCATCACGATGTTTTCCTGCACCGTAAGATAAATGTACAAAACACATTAGTACATGGCCAGCTTAGAACCCAGGATCTGAGGATTGAAAGTGAAGTGCTTTAACAACTGAGCCACCGACGCTCGTTATAATTATAATGGACCAAAATCAACTATTAAGTTAGTACAAAAATGTGTACAAATATTTTTGTGTGTAATAACGACTATTAGCGACAATCGCACAATAGGCTGCGGCAATCGCGTACAAATTGCTTTGCGGTTAAATGTTATGTATGTGTAATGACGTAGCCTAATGGAGTATTTGTGTCGTCGCGTATCCGTGTACTGATTAGCAGCGGTTTGCCCTCGTCACAGTTAGGGAGCCGGTGCCAGCCGAAACAATGAACATTAATTTTATATGGGTTTTGCACGCGGATTATTTTTAATACCCGAGATTTTTCTTTACCAATATAACTATCGCACTCAGTTAAATGTTCAATACAATACAATATATTTTTTTGGTAATATTTAAAATATATAAGATAAGAGTACGATTTTCACAAAATTAATTGTCTGTTAAAAATCTTCATATGAATGAAGCTGGCTGTTCTTATTCTCAATCTCCACTAAGTGATATCCTTAATGATAAAGTGACTTTCAGTGTGGAAATAAGTATGCGATGCGTCTGTATAATTTTCTTCCAAGTTTAAAATAAGCTTCGCCTCTGCATAACTCGGACTGTCCCGGGTTTTTAAGAATAAAATAAATAAAATAATAAAATAAATCATCTTTGATAAGCAATACATGATTTACTAGTTTGTGTGCCATTTGTTTAAATAAAAAAAAACAAGAATAATATTTTTACGACACATAAATTATGGTATACTTCGGTATATCTTTTTATTCTTTACGTTTATTGTACGTACATTTATAAAGAACTAATACTTCTGGAAGTTAGTTTTTTATTACTTTTTATAAATGTGCATCTTGACATTTCCACTGATATTTAAAACAACGCCATCTATGGGTGTATAATGCTACGCATTAAGTATTTTGTAGAATAGCTTATTTCATGCTTACAAGTTCATACGATTTTCGAAAGAGGACAGAAGTGGGCACCACTAAGAGAGCACTGTCACGCCATCTATTTGGTACACCCTAATAAATTAAAAATTAATATTTGGTATACTTTATAGTATAATTATACTAAATAATTCTAGTATGAATTTTTTGCTTGTACTAAAAAAACCAGTAACTATGGAAGTATTATTGAAATATTTGTTATATAAGTAGTAAATACTTTTTACTTATGTATATTTAAATGATTATATACACACTTCAATATTTAAATATTACTAATATGTTACTTTCTCAAAATCTAAAAAAAATAATGTCTTTTTTATTAAAAATTCGATAAATGATTACAAAAGACTGTAAAATTTACTCGTGATTTATGAGTCGCCGTCCTTGACTTGTGTTTTATCTACACAGACCTATCGATTGACCTACTTGCCTATTGGATACATTTACAACCTCTTATTTCGTGTTCCTTTTTGCAACATGTTTTATGGATTACGAATCTTATATTTATTACATTGTCTTTTACTTTGCTTTATTTAAAAGTAGCTGTCGACCGCGATTTCGTCCGCGTGAAATAAGAAAAAACTAAATAAGTAACCTATATGTTCTTTCAGACTACGTTTTACATCTGTGCCAAATTTCATTAAGGTCCGTTAAGTTATTCCGGAGATACCTTCTAACAAACATCGATCCATACAACTATACTTATGTACGTATTTATAATATTAGTGATAAGATATAGTTTCAGGTTTAGTCAGGAAAAGCCTGCAATTAGGTACAAATCTATGAATATTTAAAAGGAAATTTGACAAGGATTGAATTAACTATTATTTCTCTTAACATCTAATTAAAAGTGTATTCCTGAATTATTTATAACCATCATCCAAATTAAAAATATTAAATCCTTCTACATTTTACTAAATAAAAGGTGAAAATAATTATTTTTAATGACTGAAAATCTTACTAATATTATAAATACGAATATTTGGATGTATGGATGTTAGGTATCACTAGAACGGCTGCATGTATCTCTCTGAAATTTGGCATAGATGAACACATGGACAGCTAACACCCAAGTTATTTTTTTTAATTCCGCGCACAGTCGCGGGCGACAGTTAGTAATTGTTTAAAATGCAATTGAATAACATTGGACCTATTCTCTAATATCAAAAGATTAGAGGTATCTATTAAAAACCATTTTGTATATAGTATGTATATTATATCAGTAAATCTCTTAAACAGTTATTTCTTTTAAATATTTTCTTTATTAACACACAACAAATATTATACATTAATAAATACAGCTAAACGATTATAGTTTTTTTTAGTGAATAACTACATTTGTGTCAGATAAACCGTAACCATTTTTTTTAAATCTAAATTTCAACTAAAATTGTAAGAATAGAAAATATTAATGTTTTGGTCATAATGTTTTACTATTATTGAACAATATTTTATTGTTTCATAAACAAAAATAATTCATCTAATTCCTTTCACTAAGATATGCTTCCACGCCCATTATGGCACCATCTCTCTACTGTTATCTTATGTCAACCCATAACCTTTATTCCATTTTTAAATGTATTTTCCTGAGAATATTATTTCATTGGATCATTATTTTGTAATTGATCCACTAAAATTGACATTTAAGAATACTATTGGAGGCGTAATTCTATTTATAAATGGGCAATTATTATCCAATTCCTTTTGTGTAGTTATAGTTTAAGTTGAAATATTAAGAGGTTTATTATTTTTAATTAATAATGATTATATAGAAAGCCTCAATTCAACCATGCTACAGGTACGGAATGTAGACGAGATTATTTAATAGGACTCAACTGGTATACGTATTATTGGTAGTACATCAATAGATGTCAGTTAGCTACCTAGTGTAGACACACCTTATTAGCTACAGTCTAAAAAATAATGTGCATGCTGTTAAACAGAATTTTGATATAAATTGTATTGTCTATAATTTCTACATATAATAAAATCAATAGATCTGTTACAATTGCGTATACAGCCGGGATACTTGTATTAATACATATTGTCATCCTTTTTATGCTCATTGAAAAACAAAGACAGCATGTGTCATTTAGGGAGAAAAACTGAATGCTCCAAGTAGGTGGCGCTAGCGTCAAGAGTGCGCTGTCATCTGTCAAATTTTTAAACGTCATTCTAGCGATTTAAAATTTTTATTCTTTTTTCATTTTTGAATTTTTTAATGAAATTTAACAGAAGTCCTTGTATACAAAATAAAGTGTTTTTTTGTATATCTGTGTTATTTCGTGTTACTTTCACTCTTGATCGTGACATCTATAGTAAGCAAAAAGAACTTTTTCTCCCCATAATCGCGTCAGTTGTTCACGATGACAATTTAATTAGGCGTACCGCAATTTGTAATTTAAAGAAATTAGATATCAACTTTAATATTTGAGATTTAAGTAATTCCTAAATTATATAGCATCATAGGTAACAAGAGTACAAACAGATTTATATGCATGTAGATATACTATACAGTTGTAAATTTACACAATAATAAAACTTATTTACAAACGTTGCATAAAATCAACGTAGAGATAAAAGCTATGTATTTCCAATAACATTCATATGCGAAGCGGATCTTTATACTTGCGAGATTACATAGACATATAATAAAAGCATATAATTTTTATTCATATCGTTTAAGTTTTAGGATTAAATAAAATAATTTTATTTAAGCATTCATAAATAATGTAACTTTAAACTATAAATTGTCAGCAACTAAATATGCGAGGAATGAGGTAATACATGGATTACAAAGTTTCTATAATGAAAAAACACATTTCTAAAAATATTTTGCGCCTTTTTAGAACTATGAAATCTTCTGAACATTTTCTTATTCTTGATTTTGGTCCATTATCCGCAATTGTGACGAATGTGCCGTATTTTGTTTCCGTAAAGTTATTTTGCGCAAATTGAATAATGAAAATATGTTTTTATTTAATTTATATGTCATTGGAAATTAAGACGGAAGGTAATTACGCAACACTAATATATTGAATTTTAAATTTTAACCAGAAGCGATTTGAATACATCAAAAATCTAAATGATATCAGATCCCTACTCCAGCTTGCATATATAGCTACCTAACATCTAAATTATAGATACTAATACATGTTATTATTGTTATACAGAGTTTTAACAATTTTTCTAAATTACATACATCAATGAAAATGCGTTGTTAACAATAAAATGTACGGCAATACATTAACATCAAGTTTATCTAATTTTCTACGAACTTTTCAAATTATTAAAGACATTTAACAATAACATGGCGACACATTTAATTTAATATAACGTAGAAATAGATTTATAAGAACATTTACGTCGATAACTAATAGAAAAATGTACTCAGAATTCAACAAGAAAGAACATAATTCTAAAGTTTAGAGAAATTAATGTAAATAAAATTATACCAAAGAATGAAAGATTGAAACTGAAGTATAAGATAGAAAAACATCAAAGGAAAGTATAGTTCGACATTGTTGGCATTTCCATCAGATTACATTTAACATTGATAAGTCAAACATGACTCGCAAAGTGAGCTTTTGTACGTCAGCTAGAAACGACGGAATCGCAGATAATTCAGAACAAGTCTTCGTGTAAATAGTATTCAGAAAGTAACGTTTATAGTATATTCTTAACAGTTGCAGTTGGGGTTTGCGTTGTTTTGCGGCTGCTCAGTAAGACGTTGGCCGCGTGCTCCGCCGGCGAGCATCGCTGGCTCAGAATCGAGGCTCTCGGACATCTTGTCGCAAATTATATCAACCAAACGCTCGAACACCGTCTGCAATATTTATAGGATTAAGAGGCACAAGAGCAGTCACTTTGACCATAATTATAGTAACTGTAGTACAAATGCGATTCCAGCCTTCCTTAAAGTAAGAAAGAAAACAACTGTTGAGGAGACAACCTCAACCGTAAGCTGTAGTATGCTAATCAAGATAATGAACATTTATTTTAATTATAAACAAGTGTACGAGCTTTTATTGATTCTTTAATAGCTCCTTGCATTTGATTTACCTGAAAGAGTGTTTTTATCATATCTTGCACGACAACGGTAATTAATTCACTCTTTCGGTACTATCAGTGCCTCAATTGATTTTAGCTGCAACAGTGTATGTTCTGTGAATGTCTTACCTTAACATTTATGTTTTCTTTAGCGCTGGTCTCATAGAACTCTACTCCAAGCTGATCGGCAAGCTGCCGGCCACGCTCAGCACTCACCACGCGCTCCTCCTCCATGTCGCACTTGTTGCCGACCAGGATCACTTGTGCGTTGTCCCAAGAATACGTCTTGATTTGAGTCACCCTACAACCGGAAGAAATTCGTTATTTGCTAATTTTGTAGGAGAAGGAATACGAGCAGATCGCCTATTCGACGCGACGCTCCTGGAAATCATTAAAAACAGAGGTACCTCAAATGCGTTGACGGTACAAATCTTTAAGTTTTTGGAGTTTGGAGCTTTTCAGATGTCAATTTAGTATGACGGTAGTCACGGTCAGACCCTTTTGATGGATGGAGTAGATTTGTAGTGTTAATGAGTTAAAAGAGAGGAAGGTTATCAGTTGAGAGATGCATAATCGTTACACATTTGTTAGCAATTATGCATTTTCTAAATTTGTTATCCATTTGCCTTTATATACTTGAAGGTGTTTGAAAAAATCATGTTTTTAAACGTACCAATCTTGAACACTATTGAAGCTTTCTTCATTGGTTATGTCATACATGAGTATGAAGCCCATAGCGCCTCGGTAATACGCAGTCGTGATGGTGCGATAGCGTTCCTGGCCTGCAGTATCCTGTAAGTAAAAAGGTTGGATTTGTTTTCTTTAGAATTTTTTAGAAAGTCAATTTTTTTTCGGCTATTATGCAATAAACTTGTTTTGAAGATTTTCTTTTTCTTCTTTTTTATCTTTCTTTTACAAGATCAAAAATTGAAAGAAATTATCTAGATACAAAATAGTTTAAAATATATAGTTATACGTACCCATATTTGAAGTTTAACGCGTTTGTCGTGGCGGAAAACTGTCTTCACCTTGAAGTCAATGCCGACGGTGGATACGAAGGCCGATGTGAAGGAATCGTCCGCGTAGCGAAATAGGAAACTGAAATTTTATAAAGGATAACTTAAAATTCGTACAAAGCTACCTAGCTTCATAGGTATGTCCACTACAATAGTTAATAATGGTTATAAAATTTAATAAAAATCGACTAATATGAAAGCACGAAACTTTACATTTATCTAAACGTATAATATTATGCAATTATTAATTTGATATCGAAAATACCTAGTTTTCCCGACAGAACTGTTTCCAATGATAAGAAGCTTGAACATGTAATCGAAGTTCTGGTCTCCAGCATCCTTCTGCCATTTGATATCAGCACCACCCATCTGTAAAAAAAGAAGAAATTATATTCTATAAAAAACGTAACATATAGATTTGCTTCTCAATACCTCCCCATTTTCTGCTTCAAAAAGTCCAGGGTTAATACATTTTTGTATTACATTTTCACTAACAATCATATTTAAATCCTGGAGAATTATTCCTTCATAATACAACTCTTTGTTACGAAAACCAGTAAACGAATAAGCTATCCCGGTACATTTGCATGTTCTATAGTTTTGTCGCGAATGAATTTCGACTTTGAAATTATTTAGTTATAGTTGCTTTTACTTTAAACGTCTACCATACCGACATTTGAATTCAACAAATTTTGTTATCTCTGTCGCTTCTAACTGGAAATGTGCTTTAGCTGTACGATTTCCATATCTCTGTTGATTAACGACAGCACTTAATTGTTTTAATAAAAATATACACATGATTCTAATTGTTTAATTTACCCGCACAATTTTTGCTGACGCACAGAGAAGTTTAGGAGATGCAAAACAATCTAGACGAGTAATATGGCCCTTAATAAGTCAATGATAATTGATGAATGAACTTACAAAGTACCTTTTTAATTATTCCGCTTAAGTAATATTAATGGGAATCTGTGTATGTTTGAGAAAAATATCTTTATGAAAAAATTCAATGTATTGTTTCTATTCTTTTGTACTCATAAGAGATATGTAATTTTAATGATTGATAAATGGAAATAAATTTTCTTAATTTAATAATGTGTCTTGATAAAGGTCAAATTATGTTTATTTCTATAGGAAAATTAAAACCATCGTTCATTACTTATTCAGGACATTGCCCGCTTTAGGTACCGTTGACATGATAAACAGCGTCAAGTCACTTGGCGAAGTCATAAATTACAAAGTATAATGACTTCCCATGGTGTTACTGAATGTAAGGGAAAATACGAAGAATATTTCGACTTTCATATAAGGTATGCGTTCGTTTTTTAAGCAACAAATAGAAATTCCGTTAGACGTATAAAAAATATGTCGATTTTCAGCTTAAAATTAAACTCAGAATCGAGAAGAGAGGAGAGAACATCTAGTATAATTATTATTTTTTTATTAAAATATTCGAAAAAAATTCTAAAAAATTACCTAAATATATTTGGGAGAAATTTATTTCTACATCTGACTGCTATTAAAAGAACACAATAAAATCCATTTAATTTTCCTTTACTATTCCTCATTGGTTCTTTATCTTTTAAACAATATTACGAAGGATATTAAAAGTTTGAGAATCGCTGGCAACAAGAAAACGTTATGAAGCGCGACCTATTTATAAATCATGATATTCTTTCATCGATCTTTGTCTTCATTTTCTTAAATATTTAAATCTTTTTAGCAAACTGGTGTAGATATGTACATGTATAATTAAAATAAGTTAATTTAGTAATACTAAACGTAATTTTATCAAACATTGGAAGAAATCGAATATTTATGTATTCATATTTTTTTTATTTTTTTTTACGTTTTATAAGCTAGCGCTTGACCACGATCCCACCTGGTGAAGTAGAGATTTGGACGAAAGATGGTACGCGCTAGCTTAGTCACTATTCTATATCTTAGTGCCTATTCACTATTCATATCTTTCAACATTTAAAAGTAACGCAGTAATACTTGTGTAACTATAAGTACTCGTATTCATGAGGCCCTAATAGCTCACAATTTTGTATAGAATTAAATAATATTATGTTATTGTTTCTATACATATCTTATACATAATTATGCTCAGAAATTAACACAACATAAACCTTTAATGAATTATTAGAATATAAATTGAAAACGTAGTTATTGAGGAAAAACTGATCTCAAGTATAATTATAGACGATTTCGTGGGCGTACTTAAATCATTGTAGGCGTTACAGGGAACTCTCAAATTGAGAGGAAAATTTATCCGGACTCGTAATTGATATTAGAATATAGATTTTGTAATTATGTAATAGTAAGATTTAAAGGATTTTTAACTATTATTTATAAAAATAGAACAAAAGGTAACATGCAATATGTTTGAAAAGAAACTCAAAAAAATGTTAAATATTTACAATTTTTTTCTGATTAATAACAATGATAAGCGATTGTAAAAAATAAAATAACCATTAATATAGTTATCTATATAAATTTTTAGAATCATAAAATGAAAATAGATTTTAGGCACGTTAAAATAAAATATTAAAAGTGCTTTTTGTATACTAACCTTTAATTAATACTTGACTTCGATTGTGAAGGGTTGTTCAGTATTTATATTTTATCACCAGACTGGCTATCAGCGTTGTAAGGGTACAGCTCTCCGCCTATAGCTATCTCTTTTAGATTCGCATCACGCAATGGGAGCAGATGTCAGACTTTTACGCGGTTATCGATTTTTTCCGTTGACGCTTTGTTACTTTTCCGATGACACAACACTTACTGAAAAATATTCCAGATATGTCTTCGCCTTTCAATAATTCAATGCTGCCAGCTGGTTGGTTTGAAAATCGATACTTCTAAAACGACTCTTTCATAATCGTTCTAACACAACATTTAACATTTCTAATTCATGATTGTTGATATTTGAACGTTAGATGATATATTAAGAATCCTCTTGAGCAACTATTAATCTTTTATATCAGAAAACTTAGCTCTTGGTGGTGCTGTTTCGCGCACACAGCTGTTAACTACGTCCTGGGACTCCACGGTGTCGCGGGAGAGAAAAGGAAATCTAAGATGGCGGCGGTTGCGCGCGCAGCCTACCCCAGCTTGTCAAGTTACTAGCGGACGTGTCCTCATTGGCAACAAACCACGGCAAGCGCTGCCCAATTTTTTACAAGTGCCGCTTAGCTGTTGACACACATTGAGCTTGATTTAAACAACTGTTTAGATGCGATTTACGGAGAAAATAAACGTTGTTTATGTGATAGTAAAGTACAACTCTGCAATAGTACAAACAGTACTGATTTAACTATCAATGTGGATAAATAAGAAATAGAAATTACTAACTAATCGCAAACCGCGACTGGTCTTATATAAATATGCAATGATAAAATGAACTTCACATGAAGGTTCCATCCCATGTGACTCTTCAGAGTCTTCACTGATATTAGTAGCTGCTAAGAATAAACAGAATAATGATAAATTATGTGTTGGGATGCTTAAGAAACGCGTTGTTAATTAAAATTTTGTTAGTCATACCATGACTTATATACCAGGGGTATTGTAGCTGGTTTCTATGTAGTAAAGCTTTAATCTGACTTAACTTTTATTACATTGAAGAATAGTTTCTATATAATCTATTTATAAGTAAAGTATGAGAGAATAAAATAAGCGAAGAAATGTTATATAATATTTTCCTATTACACTCGGTCCAATCTGCGATGGCTGGGATCTCGTTTCGCAGACAAAGATGTAAAGCCTTGACCTCTGTTTGACCTAATTTTTAGCAACTCATGCATTCCATTGAAAGTTGCATTCTCTCCTATTTAGTATATAATTATAGATATTTATCTACATTTGTCTATATACATAGTAAAATATATAAGGTGCTATTAAAATATGTTACTTTATTGATTTATCAAAAGCTTATTTGAAAACTATTTTTTTAACTTTGAACAACGTACCTTATTTTTCTGATTTATGTTTTTTTATTTTATCATATTAATTTAATTAAAAACCTCTACTTAATTAGCTCACACTTCACTTAAATTTAATTTTATTTTCAAATAAATTGAAATATACGCCATCTATGTTCATCAATGTTTAAACATAGTAGTTGTTTCAATAACATTTTGCAAGTGTACTGAAGTTTCGTTTGAGTAGTTACCACTTATAACGTAGATGTCGCTGTTAAATCATGATTTCATTCGTGTTCTACTAGATGGAGCAAAGAGAATACAGATCGTAGATATCGTAGGATATACTACGAATCGTTACAGTGGGTTTTTACTGAGATTAGAGTTAGAGATAAAATTAGAGGTACGACCAATTTTCGTATAAGTTTTTTCGAAATAGTAACTGCCTGTTATTGTTAAATTTGGTAATCTTCTTATTCACTTAGATATCCAAAGTTCTTCACAAAATTGGAAGGAAATTTGTCGAGTATTGAATTATTATTTTAATAATTCAATGCTCGACAAATTTCTGAAGATATATCTGGATGGATGTTAGAAGGTATCTCCATAACAACTGCATGGATCTCTCTGCAATTTGGCACAGATCTATACCGTATTTGAAGAACAAATAGGCTACTAAATAGGCTTTTTATTCCATGTGGTTGGAGTCTCGGGTGACATCTATATTTCATAAATATCCATCACCTGTTTACATTAAATATAACATCGAAATGTCCTCAGTTATAAATATATCTGCAGCATTTGCTAGCACTACACTAAGAGATTATTTTTGGGACTTGTTCAATATATTGTGGAACACCGCGGGACGAAAATATTTGCGCCAGTTCTTCTGCATTGAATTCTCTTAATTAGAACATAGCGAGACAATATTCCGCCTCGGAAAACAACTATAAATACATTTAACCGCCTTTTTAGCGTTAATTTATTTGTTTAAAATATGCAAACTAAATTGTTCCATCATACTTTCGTGCTTTGAAATAATAACTATGAGTAACTGGAATAATAACATACAAGAAGTCCGGAAAAATGTAACCTGTATAACATCACAAATGCCCGTGGTTGACAATATCATTATTTGAAACAATTAAATGCTATTTTCCAAACTGATAATTCAAAAAACCACAAAGAATCAGCTGGTGAATCGGAAGAGAAACGGTTGGAAAAATATAAATTTTCCCATCTTCATAAGAATAACCTTTTATTATAAAAATTACCTTTAACTTTACGGCGTATTATACATAACAAAGTTTGCATTTTAATTTTCAGTGAAAGGAACAGTAAAAGCCCTTTCATAAGTACGCTATATGTTTATACATACAGCGTGTTCTTTTATTTTGTAACAGCGACTTAATAGTATACATCAATAAAAATATGAAAATTGCGATCGTACACTCGACCTTTGAATGTCGTCAAGTATTTTGTGTGCTCTCGGTCGTGGTCGTGATCCAAGGAAATGTCGCGCGGACTAGAATAGACTCACCGACGACAGTTGGCATAATGACGTCACCGCGCGTCATGTGATGCGTTTACGCACAACAAACAAGCTTCAGACCGACGTACGTTTATTTTTTTGTTTTCCATTCCATTTATTTTTATTATTATTAATTATGACGAGATTTCTTAGCTTTCTACAAGCTTAGAAAAAGCAGTTGATTGTTATCGTAACGTAAGGAAAAGATGACTAAGTTTTTTTAAGACTTTAAAGTGAATGTGTTGAATTGATCAATGCTTTTAAATGTAGCTCATTTACTAATGACCACTATACAATCTGAAGTAAGGAACTAAATGTATACTTAGGATGTGACCCACTTCAGCCATGTTTTCGTAATAGCCGAAGTCACGATTGTCACGGATATCAATTGTTTTAGCATTAACATCCGTGACAATCGTGACATTTTATAAGAAATAATAATAAAAGAAAGAAATGAGTCTTCATATCCATCAATTTCATTTGCGATTTCAATTCTATTTATTTTTAAGTTTTCGAACACATATTTAATTTGAATTAAAGATAAAGAAATATATCTACAGTTTCTTATAAAGTGTATAGGTACACATTACACACGCTGAGACATCCTGTATAAGCGTGTAAAAATACTCATATTTTGTTCAAAATCGATAAATTTTTCGTCCGTCGTCCTGATGGATTGTTTAGTGACGCCTACGATGAAGCGATGCGAGAGGAATTCCGTGTGTGTTGTCGTCCTTAATGAGAAATGGAAAAGGCAAAATATGAAAGATGGATTGTTTTCCTCGCAAATTGCCTAAGTACCCTTTTAGAAAATTTGCATTATATAAAACCAACTTTACTGAAGCAATTACAATATATTCGTTCATTTAACATACACATAATATACATAATTTTATTATACCTTTTATAGACAGCAAATATTTTGATTTCAAAATAATTATAAATGCCACAGGATTCTTCCGAAGTATGTTCATACAGAGATTTGATATAGGGTGTTCTAAACTTTTTATACATTGTATATTGTTGGAGAATTTCAACAAATAATGACCGTATTAAATTTCAAAATGTAAAATCTAAAATACCAGTAAAAAATCTTTAAACATTTTCCATTAGAAAATAAATGATTCCGCGAAATATGATACACCCGCCTACGTACTATAGACAATGATGATTTAATTTTAAGTACTAAATGAAGATTAATTTATTTAACGTATTTTTATTAAATATTCTAAAGGAATATTTTAAATCAAACTTTCCATATAACATGGAGAATTAAAAATTTTTTTTGTTTAATTTTCAAATTACACACTAAAACACTCTTACACAATTAATTTTTAATAATAATTGACTGCATATTTTTAAACCGGAGTTCTGGTGTGCTAGCTGTCGCCCGCGACTCCTTCTCCGCTGACCTAAAAAAAATCTTATTAAGTAGCCTATGTGTTCTTGCAGGCTATGTTCTACATATATGCTAAATTTCAGGGAGATCCATGCAGCCGTTGTGATACGTGATACCTTCAAACAAACATCCATCCAAACATTCGCATTGATGATATTAGTAAGAAGTAAGATTGTAGCGACTAAACCCCCACTGGACCATCCCTAATATTTCATATTCACTTTTCGATAACGAAAAATCATTATAACCACATCCGCTGTTCAAATTGCATTCTAATCTTCGTTCAATCAAACCGACACATTTAATTAAAAAGCTCAGATGAGATAAAATCCATTTAATGTTTTCCAATTTCCGACCATTTAACGTATACAAGTATAAAATATTTTATACTCGTATCCATATACAAAAAGGATTCAATTAAAAAAAATTAACACCTTGCCTACCTTTTCTATTACGCGGTATAATTGAAAATGTGTGCCGATGTTATATTAATTTCCATTAATAATATTTTTCTCTCCAAAAAATGTTCGGTTTTGAAGCTTGATTGAAGTACAATTGGCATTGCAAAATAATGTAAGGTGTGCATCCGAGGGATATCGTCAGCGCGCGTCAGTCCTACTTCGACCTCCGCGCTTGCCGACCGCGCGCCTCTACGCCGCATCGCGCGTTCTACGCGTAACTACCAAATGACTTACGATCGACAAAACGAACATAAACAAATACATAAAAATTGAAAATATTCCCTCCTCAATTCCCTCTTCTAAGTCTCAAATCCCTTCTGCCTCCGAGAAAAATGACAATCGAACTCAATCGCGACAACTTTTTTCAACTTTCATATTTTTATCAGTGAATCAAGGAAACTTAGTGGGACTCGTTTTCAACTTTTTTGTTCCTCCCAATATGCAGCTTAAAGATAAATTTTATCAAAACTTATTTATACACAAGAAACGACTGAAAATTTCTACCTAAAAACCTTTAAATTTTACAAATAATTTTTAAACACAATTTACACGATTTTCGATAATTTTGGACAATCCTTTATCGTCTTAACCTTCCTCGTAGAAAAATTTAAGTGTGACCAAAAACTTAAAATAGAAGAAAGTATTGTGCATAACTTAGTACATAGTGTGTTTGAACTAGTGTTAGTTAAGTTATACTACATAATTAATTAAATAAGTAAAAAAAAACTTAGTTATTCGATTTAGTGTTAGTGAATTAACCGGTGAAGAACATTTATGAATTGGTAAGAACCAACTTATAACTTAATTTATTTTCTTATAATACACATTTAAAGTATGACCAAAACCTTTGTCAATTTCTTAATTATAATATTATGAAGGAAGATTCTACAATATTAAATTCGAGTTAATTAAAAATAAATATGTCAATTAAAATAAGTAACGGAAATGCATAAAATATTTGGCACTGAATCTCAAATTTTTATTCAGCAATTTAAAACAGTTTTCATGAATAATTTCATAATCAATATCTCATTTCATAACAGAGGATTCTATACATATTTCTTTAGAATACGTGTACAGTGAACATATTATTATTTACAAACATTTTTATACCTTCCCAAAGAATAGAGTAATATATAAAATACCATTATAGTAATATCAGTGTTTTTGCCCCCAGGGGTAATAAACATACAGCTGAGCAAAGGCCCTATCGGTTCTGCATTGCAACGCTTCATTGTAATTTCTTTGATTTTTTCTCTTTTTGATTGTGTTATGTGTTGTAATGTTTTTGAACGGATTAAATGTCTTATTATTATTATTATTATCTGATGTTTATAAGTATAATTCTTATGTAACATAATATTTTTTCGTAAAATTTCATAAAACAACTTTTTTTTAAAGAAAAAATTTAATAATAGAGCTGTTACCAAACATGCTATACCTACATGTCTATTAAATTAAGATCATATTATTCCGTCGGTGCCAAGTCCAATGACATCGTGGGTATTTTTAAAATTATATCACAATGCCAAACTGTAACCGTTAGCTTCCACTGGAGAGACACACTTAAAAACATATTGTTGTCTCTGTTTTACATAGAGAAAGAAAAGGATAGTAATATTATTTTGTCTGATAACTTCAATGGAAGCCCACGGTAATGTTAACGAAACGTCGTAGCTGCATTACTTCCTTGTCATTCATCGCCAATCGTAAATGTAAATTCTATTAGTAAAAAATAATGTACGATAAAAAAAAATTATCAAAGTTGAAACACTCGAGCGTGCTCCAACATCGTTAAAGGGGAATTTTATGACAAGAGTTTTGAATTAAAATATAAAATATACATAGTTTTAAATTAATTAAACAAATAAAATAAATATGAACGACATAAAAATATTAGCTAATTAGATTTTCTTTTTACCTTGAACCGAGAATATTTAAATATTAGTGAATAGATTCAGAAATATTACTCTAATTTATATCTTATTCAAATTCGTTGAAGGAGTCAAATATAAAGACGATATCATTAAGTTTGAAAATGTTTCACCTTAGTTAATTATAATTAAAATATTTCAATGGAATTACAGGGTATGTTTTTAGTGATCTGTCATTTGCACATAAAGCCTCGACCAGACATTTAGGCGCTCGAGGGAATATCAGAGGTGTGCTGTGCGTGCTTATCGACAATATGATAAACAGTAACATAATACATTTATATCATTAAAAAAAATTAATACTACATTTTAAAATTTATCAAAATGGTGTCAACTTAGTTCCAAACAAAGACAACCATACGATGAAAATAAAATCAAAACAAATACAATTAGGCGATTCGTTGCTCGTTTGCCCCCTTCTCCTATAAAAGAAATACATAATCACAATAAACTAGATGTCCCCAGCGACTCATTCCGGGCAAAATTAATAATTCATAGCTTATGTCTTCCTTCTTCCAGGTTAGTTCTACATCTATGTCAAATTTCAGCAAGATCCATACAGCCGTTCTAGAGATACCTTTTAGCAAACATACATCAAAATATTCGCATCTCTATTATTAGTAATTTTCCTTTAGAATTTGAGTAATATCTAGATATTTAACATCTACTCTCTCAATTTAATATTGGTTTTAGTCATCCTCCTTTAATTTATTAAAAAAAAACGAAAATGTAAGTACTTGCTATTCATACATTTCTTGGAGGAGATTCCTTTTCAAGTATTGTACCCATAAACAATATTAGTTAAGTTTAACTGCTTAACTGCGGTATATATAGCGATAACATTGACACAGTATACAAGCGAGAATACATAATGTACATAACTACTTAAGAACTTACAAGACTTTATGAACTTAGTGCTACAACATGTAAATCTTGTGTTAACCAGTTCTACCGAAAGCGAAACCTATTTTTTTTAAAATAACGAATATTGGTTTTTGGAACTGAATGCCATTTAGAAAAAAAACATATGAATATTAAAAAGTACGATAGATTAAAGAGTTGCCTGATATATTTTATCTTTCATTTTTATGTTCAAATATTTTTACATTAATTAATCATTATCGTCAATTGTTTTGGTACATGGTGTGAAATACCGTCGAGGGTCAAAACTGATCTTTTCATACTCTTTTTTTCTGATAAATAAATACATCCTGTATATTATTATTTCTATATTTTACAAGATTGAGATATAGATATTGATTTGACGTCTTCTAATTTCTAGTAGCCATCAATCTATCTCAGATTTATATGATTATTAACGTCACTAATTAAAAGTAATTTGAGGCTCCGATAAGCCATTGGATTAGATTTCGTCTTAAGTAATTAAGGGTAGATCAAATTCAGAAACCTTGAAATGTAATATAACAAATGTCAATTATTAGTATCGATATACATGCAAAAGTGAATAAAAGCACAAATTGACTTAATACAACCGTACAAGCAGCTAATTTATCAGTACAAGACTATGTAATTATTCAAACTTTCGTGAGACATTATACTAAACTGATATATAAACACGGCTAAACACTCACGTATGTGTATGCGTACACACACACTGGTATTATTTCGCGGACGCGGTATAATACCAGTATCACTCATCCTGATGAAGGGCCCCCGATGGTCTCGAAACTAGTCGGTGCCGCCACCGGACGAATATACGTGAGTGTTTAGCCGTGTTTATATATCAGTTTACAAGACTTTGTATTTAGAAAAATAAAAAATATGACAAAACTTGCAAGTACAATAAAGGGATAAATTATAATTATAAGAAAATTCAAAATATTCGAACAGCTACTAAACAAAGTAAAAATTTAGAAACGAAGTATGAATTAAGGTTTACTAATTGATGTTAAAAAAGCTAAATTTAGTATACCAAAGTTTATTCCCAAATGTAGGTGTATCTAATCTCTTACCGTATCGGATCGATACGACTGAACAACGAGCTTAAATTAAACATCCTCGTCCGTCACACTTCGGTATTATCCGATACCATGAATTTTGAAATGGAAATGACAATTTTAATAAAAAAAAGCAGAAATATAAGCATTTATTATTTATCAATAATCTAACAGTCACCGGCGATTCAAACCGCGAGGCAATAAAAAAATAATAAGTAGCCTATGTGTCTATTCGGGCTATGTTCTACATCTAAGTCAAATTTCAGTATGATACATGCAACCGTTCTTGAGATATCTTCTAACAAACATCTCTATCCAAACATTCGCATTTATAATATTAGTAAGATTGTGTAAAAGAGGATATGTTTAAGCAAGGAGAGAATATGACGGACGAGAGAAATGTATGAAACAGTAGTATGGACTTCGTAGAGTTTATGGTCTTTTGCAATACGGCTTATAATACAAAATATGTGGTTGTTTATTTCAATACACTTACAACAGCTGGCATTCATCCGTCTTAGACAGCATTAAATAGGTAATCCTGTTCCGTTTCAACAATACCTTACTAATTACATCGTAGGCTTACGCTTTGAATAATTATTTACATACTTATGCGGCACGAGGCTGAACGAATGAAATAATCCATTTAGTCAGTCTAATAGTCTAAAGAACATACCTATTCACTTTTTGAAGACTGTCCGCTGATTATGAAAATAAAGAAACACGTTGTAGTCTGCTAGAGTGAGTGAGACTCAAGCCTACTCTAAGTTGAGGTCTAACTTAGGTCTAGTTATTTGTCAGTATATGTGTTTCGTTTTTTGTAGAAACATTAAATAATTACCGAGCCCACTATTATTTTTCACACGGAAGCGTTATTTTATAAAAAACACATCTTTCACTAACAGCAACAAGGTTGTTCGTAATCCATGCATCGATTGCGCTGTCAACTTTGAAGGTTGACAATGTCCGGCGCTAAAAAATTTCAAAGGTCGAAGTTTGAGGAAATCACTGAAGAGCCAGTAATATAAACAGCTGAGAGCTGAGCGGTGAGTCCCGGCCGCAGGTGGCACGCTGTTGTAAATATAGATCGTGAGTTAGACCGTTCATTGTCACCAACACGCCAAGGCCCGATAAATTGTTGGCCCATCTCTATTACTAACGATACTCTAATTTACAATTACGTTACATAAATATAATTGTTATAACGTCTTTACCATGCAGTAGTATGATATTAGCGTACTAAATTTTTTTTATATCATTTTCATTCATTTTTTCATTTTGTCACCTGAAATCGCTGAAATAGCGAAGTGACCGTTGCCCATAGACATACGCAATTTCATATGCGTTGCCTACCTTTAATAGACGAAGGAGAGGATGCACAGAAAGAAAATATCTTCCCGTCCCATGCATCCTCTTATCCGGAAAGTCCACTTTCACTTCCCATCTTTTCCTTGTAAGAAAAAGGGTGGGAAGGGAAAGAGGACTAAATTAGGCCTCCGGGACGTAAACTCATCAGACGAAACGCGGAATTGCTTAAATTTCACGCCTCTCTTCATAAGATGGATAAGCCTAGATATAAAAGCTATGAATATACAATTATTGACCTCTCATAACTAAATAAGCATGCTATACGTCCGTTGTTAGGGATATGTATATAAATATGTTATCAATTAATTTCCTTTAAACTTTTTAAATAATTAAGAATAATATAGACAGTTACCTTTTAGCCAAGTCTCTGACCACGAAAAAAATATTAGAAGCCTATGTGTGTTCTTTTTTTCAAATTTCACCCGAATTCGTTAAGCCGTTCTGGAGATATCTACTAACAAATATCAATCCATTCAACCATCAAAGCTTTCGCGTGTATAATATTAGTAAGATGTATCGGTC